TATCGTCTTTGTGGCCCTCGCCAATCAACCACTCTCGAGAGACACTGCCCGGCAGAGGGGCATCACCCTCACGGGCGAGATGGAACCACCGTGCGAGGACTGCACACGAAGGCGAAGGGCAAGCGAGCGTCGTAGACGAGGGCCTATTTAGTGGTACACGAAGTAAACATCGAGATGTGTCGGGGGCCGCATCGTTTCATTGAACAACACCCGTTGCAAGGGCCAATGCAGTAGGCGTTGACCCCCCGTAGTTTGGTGAGAGAGATGGCGTCGCGGAAGCTTGTCGGATCTATCAAAACTAGTAATCATGTCCATCTTTCCGAGATTTCGCACAACTCTGCACTTGTTCATAGTGTAGGCTACACCGTTGGTCTAGTATAAAGGAGCGGCGAAGTGTAGCTATCGTAGCCTACGTCTCCGCCGCCCTTGGAGAGAAAGAAGCAGACCCGTGGGCTGCCACACATGAAGCAGGAAGCACATGGTCGAACCATTGAGACAATCCAACTACTGCCGGGCCAACACTGCTGTGTTGGCGCGGGCGGGGGGAACTTAGATACAGCGGCAACCGGAGTTCCGACATGTTCTGGCGCACATTTCGACGTGTTCATGTACTGGTCGTCTTGGATCCCTTTCGCACCTGCAGTTGGCCCCACGAACCCATCCCCGCCGCGCGTAGAGCAAGCCAGCCCCAGCACCACCAGCGCACACGTGGGTCGCCCAGGCATCTCTACCGGTGGAGTTCCTGCTGCTGGGAAAGTGGTGTACGAAGCCAGCAAGCCAAGCGCCGAGGGAAAAAGGCGGCGGGATATTTCTTGACACTCGTCGGTTGATTTTGCTACACTGCTGTTTGCTTCGTGTTAGCGTTTGTTGAGGACATGACCGACGTGAGCACCACAAAAACCATTAAATAATAGAGCAGGGTAGCTGAAGAGGGGCGGGCTTGTCGACATGTAGAAGCTGTCCGGGTTCCTTGCAACTTGTAACGACGGCTTATTCACACCGAGACATGAAAAGCAAAACAAGTCTACGCATGCAATCGAAGAGGAGAGGCAAAAGAGAAGGTTGCCCCCCCCGGCCAGCGAAGCATCTCCACCGCCGCCAGAGCTCGATTTTGCGGCACCAAATTCTCACCTGCTTCCCCAAGAATATGTACTTTGCCGACACGCGCGGGGCAGCCAGGCAGCAGGCAGGCAGAAATGTACACGACACAGACAGCCGACATCAGCGGGTGGGCATCTACGTTGCGGGGGGGGTGTTTTGTCGCCTCTGCGTGCCCCCCTAGAATCTTCGAATCTTAATCTGGACTGCTATTGGGGGGGCTGTTCGCATGCTGGCAACTCGAGAGTTTAGATAGGCAATCTTGCTCATGTCGATGTATCCCGCGCACATCGCCGTGAGCCTGGAAGCAAACGAAACAAGGAAGAATGTCGATAATATGTGCTCACAGACAGATCGCGGACATGAAAGGAGCGAAAACCTTGCTAGGTCGCTGCATACCAAACAACCACATGCATGTTGGCTGAGCTGACCCTCTCCCCCTCCCCCTCTTCATGATCCCCCTCTTCATGATCGTGTACGTGCTGGTCACGGCCTCACAGATGCAAATATTCGGTGTATGCGTGCATGTAAGGAGCAGCGCTTGATCGAGAAAAAAAGCTGCAACTCCAGGTTTCTCTGCATTGCGATTTGCACGTATATTGTAGTCTAGGGTTGCGCCTTTACGCACAAATATTTCCGTGTCGCATTTCCAACGAATTGCTTGTGGGTGGTAAACGTCCCTGTGCATCGTCGAACCAATACACAAAGAGAGTTCTTAGGCCTTTCTATAACCGCCGAGACGTTTACATAGACAATGCCGTGGCATCTTGTTCCTCCCGCTCTCATCATGCGCTTAGATGGTCAAGGCAGTACCACCGAACAAACGCTTTGCCCCCGGTAAAGCATTCGGAATCGATTTGACCAAAATTCTACAACAGTACAGGAGTCCGCTTCGACATATCCACATGAGGTGTACCTGCCGAACAACGTCTCGGGTCAAATATTATGGAACCCAAAGCGCATTCATTCGTGTCTGGGTTTTCGCGTGAAAGGGCCCCGGTATGTAGCCATCTCACCCAGGGTGTTCTCCGCCACAGTGAGCGTACGTTCCCCCCACACACAACGCCCATCCACCACAAAAATCACAGCACGCACCGTCACCTTCTTGTCCCCTTGGTGCGTGGGTAGATCCACCACTCGGCGCCCGGCCGTAGCAGACAAACTATGATGGCGTTTTTTCTAGTGATCCGCGTCAAACGCCGTTCTTCAGACAAACCACAGCAGCGTACAACAACATGCACACACACACACACACCCGTAGATGGCTGGCCGTCTACTATCCGATATGCACACCCGCAACTCGCGCACGACATACGCTTCGCCCATAGCGGCATTCCCACGTCTCGATATCCATTTTGCGGAAGACACGGGCAACTGAACGAGGGTGGCGTGCTAGGCAGCGGGCGGCACGGCACCACCTTTCCACTCTCCACCAAACCGAGAAGGGCAAAAAGGTAGCGACCGCCATATAGTGGGCAGGAGCACGAGCACACAAAAACGAACGAAAGCAACGTGTACAGCAGTAGCAGAAAATCTACGCGGAGACCCTTGCCGAGAGTCCAACAGACCGGCAGCGAAAAACTTGCAAGGAACTACGTAATGTGTACCACGAATATACGTTTTTCGGCGTGAAAATTCGGCATGCGTTTCATTGATGAAATGCAGATAAGACAGCTAGTCGAAGCACACATCGTAAGAAACAAGTGAACGAAGTAGTTTGATATCGCGGCCTTCGTACTCGATGGCTTCGGTGTTTACAAACACAAAGCACGAGCGCATGACGACAACAAACCAACGTCTGCCCGGTAAGTGCGGCAACGCTGTGTCAACAACAGACAAAGATAAACAGTTCACACCAGCTATGTATGTACGTCGATCAGAAAAATGGTAAGGTTCCACAAGGAGCCAGTTAGAGAGCGATCCGCTGCAGCGTTGAACGCTCCAACAGAAACCCTTTGCAGCTCGTTTCCTGTGCAGACAATAGTATCCCCCCCTTTCCCGCGGACGCAGCGGCACCTCCCCGCCCCGGCCGGTGTTGTCTTCCCGCCTTCGTCGCCTGATTGGACGCGAATATCCCCATGGCCAACTGTGCTCCGACTTCCTCCATTTTTTGCAACAGCCGCGATGGCGTAACGCCCTTGTACCTTCGAATCAAAGGCGAAGAGAGTCGAGGTCATCGGGGAACCGTTTCATCGTCAAACGGAAAGCTTTGATGTCTGAAATTGAGGGCATGAAAAGCCGATTCCGAGTGTATGATTGCGTATTGCGTATGTACCCGAGTAACATTGGCGAGTTTTTGTTGTTGTTTGCTCGGGCTTCCATGTCCTTACCTTTGTCACGGAGTGTATGGGAATACACCCCTTCCCCCGGTGACCCATGCGCTAGAGACACCGGGCAAAGAAAGGGGACACAACATCACGGCATTCCTCCGCGCCACATGGTTTCAGAGTGCAGTACGGCGTCGTCCTTGGTTGGAGTTTCTCGCGACCCCTCGTAGCAACAAGCTGGTATTAATAGTGGCAATTTGTCGACTATCTGTAGTCGCCTTTGACTTTGCCAGAGACCAAGGTTTTTGCTTTCTGCGAAAGTGATCCAGCTATCCATGTGTGCGAGCCAACCACGTCGATGGTTCTGAACGCTCCACCCAACCGTTGTGGTACCACCGCTCCACCCACCAGCACCGCAGGAGCAATCTCCCACCCACCTGCCGTCCCCGCCTTCCAGCGCGCTGCAGCTCGCCGACATCGACAACGACACGCCCCCTTTTCCATCGCCTCTCTTCCCTCCCACTCCCGCTACGCTGGCATCCTCTTTCGGCCGGTTGCAGCACCTATCGAACACCGCCTCCAGAGCCGAGGTTCTCACGGGCGTGCTGACGGCCACGTCGGCGACGAGGGCGAGGTGCGGGGACAGCACGGCCCGCTTCCCGTCGGCGGCCTCGGTAAAGCCGGCCGAGACGACCCTAAGGGCGGCGCTGCCCATGGCGGAGGGGTCGCCCTGCACGTGTGCGAGGCCGACGACGACGGAGTCGGCGCCGCCGCCGCTGAAACCTGCTCCACCGCCGTGTAAGGCCTTTTGTTGGGGTCGGGGGGGGGGCGGGAGAGTGGGGGGGCGCATGGTGAGTGGTTGGTGCTGCTGCCGACTCCTATGTGATGCTGTGGCTGCTCCGTGTCACATTCGCGGGAGTCAATGAGTTCACAAAGGGTGCAGCACGTTTTTTTAGACTTGGAAAACGGGGATCGCTTGAGGTTCACGGACAAGTAGCGTTACCGGTGTCACTTCAATTGGCGTACTGTAGCACTCCCCGTTGAGTCAGCTGGTCCTTTGTATTTCGTATTTTTGACCACCAACGACATCTCACTCCCCAATGCCTTCCGACCAAGCTGTCGGGGGAACCTACGGCTGCGCCACACCTTTTCCAAAGCGATGACCTCCGCAGCTCCCAGGGCGTTGCTTATCATCAGCACGCCGTAACCCTCTCCGTTTGGAGAGGCCGCGTTGCCGGAATCGGAAGCCATTGAGTTTGTTCTAGCCACCTGCTCGTTGAAAATTCGACACGACCACAACATCATCGCCCAACGATTAGCGGACCGAACGAGTTGCTAATTACACCGAGACCTGCAAGCAAGGTTAGAGAGAGAAGCGATTACGGCGAATCTCTTAAGAGGCACTACGAACAATCTAGAACACATTTGACATCATTGGCCACGGAACCGCTACACACCATGAACAGCACAGTAAACGGTGAATCTAACTATCGGAGGCATGGATGAAAACAGACACAACAACAAAATACAACAATTTGGTGGGTATTCGCATTGATAAAATGCGCTCTCCCCATCGCTGCCGCAATATCCAACAAGGGCTCAACACTCAGCAATGCTGCGTATCTCACCACAAAGCAATAAGAACCTCCTCGAACAAGACTATTGTCACGGCATGTGTTCCACAACCCAGGCAAGGAGAAGATTGCGCCACACACGCCAGGCTTCTCCGCCGCAGCGCTCAAGAGAAACTAACATCCCCCATCATATCGAACTCCCGAAGCGGACCGTTCGACTGAGGTTTTCATGAAAAAACACGTTAATTGCGTGAGCTTGCATGTACCTGTATCCGCAAAAGTGCTTGTGGAGCGTTGAGGACTAGATCCCAGCTGCACCCGAATCTCCTGAGCGCTCGCTCTGTCGAGATTTGCCGCTATGCCAAGTAGGGGCGGGGACGGCATTGGGGTGGAGGGCGCGAGAAAGACAAATTCGGTCTATGCCATCGCCGGGGTGTCGTCTAAGTTGCGGGTGCCACCTGTCAAACAATAGACCTGTCTGCTACCGTGCACTCACGGGCCCCAGCCGCTGTGACAAACTTCATCCGTCCCCCTTTGTGTGAGGCAACAGTCCAAAATGTTGCGTGCAATAATATGTCGCCGTAGGCGCTAAATGGCACATACGCGTACCGGGAAATGTAGTGTCCAGAGTAGAGAGAGATCGGAACAACTTCTCAATAAAGCGATGGGGTTCCGGGCAGCACACTAGCCTACCCCTTCACGCCGGTTTCGCTTTCCGTCCGCACACACACGAAAGTGGCCTACTATGGAGCTTGTTTCGACCTACAGTACGCGTCCGACCTTTCTTTCTGTACGTCCGGTCCATATGTATTGAAATCCTCCACCCCCTCCGATTCGACACCCTCCCTCACCCCGCTCTCGACATTTTGCTGCATCTCCCCTTTTACCTTTGCGCACGGTTCCACGAGTAGCACCCTCCTCCCACCCGCTGCACCCGCAGGAGGCGCCGCTTTCAGGGGACTCCCCCCCAGCGTCCCCACCCAGGCAAGCCGTCCCCCCTGAAACATGAGGAACGCCGGGAGGGCTTGAACCCCGTACAGCTCCGCCGTGGCCCGGTGCTCCGCGAAGTCGACCCTCACCATCCTGTACTTCTCAGCGCCCGAGACAGAGGCACGGCTCGAGGGGCCGGCCGCGCTGCTGCTCCTGCTGTTGTTGTTCATGCGCCCGCCCTCGCCCCCTTCCCCCCCTTCGGAGCCTCCCTCCCCGGAGGAGGAGGACAAGCCCTGAACGAGAAAGCAGTTCGCGAGCTCGGCGATGGTCTGCACCTTATTGCACGCCGGGTCGTCTCCGCGAACTCCAAGCACGGTCACCAGCTGGTCGGGCGCGGCCTCCTCCTCGAGGAAGGCTCGCAGCCTGCTCGGTGGGTGGCGTGCGCGGCGCAAAAATCGAGCGGCAGCGAGCATCAGCGGAGAGAGCCCCGGTGTCGTACATACAGTGCATCGCGTTGGCTTGTCAGGACGGAGTGGCGGGGCCAGGTTTCCGGTCGAGCCGCTCTTTTGTGTCGTTTGGTGGTGTACGGAAGGAGTCAAGGGCTGCCGGTGTACCGTTCTGGATGTTTGCCGGAGCGTTGGCTCAGGTTGGCGGACCGGCCTATCTATCCGGTCAAACCGGGCGTATCTGAGTACTCGCCACCTCGCAAAGCCCGTTTTTCGGTAAGTTGCTTTCAAGGAGACCGACCGGTTCTCACAGTACATACCCTTTCAAGCATACCAGGTGTGCTTGTGGGGGAAAAAAGAGCGGAAACTTCAACGTTTTCCGAGCGCACACGCACGTGCTGAATCCGATTCATGGTGAAAAAAGCACACAGAAACTGAAAGTAACGGCGACAAATGATATCGTACGCAACCAATCCTCGCTGGTGCACGTAGCAGACGTACATAGAGAAGAGGAGAAGTCTCGACCTTTGGCAACATTCCTTACTGTCGTGATCTCGTCGCCGTTCCAGCCATCCGCGGGCACCCATGAAAATCTCACTCACGGAGTAGAACAACGCTACTGTTGTAGCCGTTAGTTGTCTGTGAACAATGCTACTGCGGTCGTCATTTGTCCAATACCTAAATCTCGAGAGCAGCAAGGCTATGGAGCATGCACCGTTGTTACCTCGGAAAAAGCTCACATTATGCTTGGCGGGTTGTAGCCTTTGATATGTTAGTGCTTGTTAATATGTCTATTCCGTGTATTTCCTCGAGATTGCCGTGTAATGTCAGCGACTCACTAGCTTGGTCGAGCCAAGGTCCACGAGCAACACAGTACCTAGAGGCCGGAACCTTGGGCAGAGGCACCCCTGAAACGGTTGTCTTTCCGGTAGGGTTGGACACCGACGTCTTTGCCCCTGGCACAACGATCTCCTCCGCGTAGCGGCCGCTTGCCGCCTGCAATAAGTTCGATCTGGGCGTCGAACAGAAACAAAAAGCCGAGGTTGCTCAAGTCTTTTTCAGCCGTTCTTGATCTCTGCAGAGGTCGCACGATTTCAAAGGCGTAGTGTATCGAGATGAGCCAGCCCTCACCCTTAGTTAACTTCGACGTACAGTAGTATACAGGAATATTTCGCCGCTGTACATACCACACCTAGGACGTTGGTGTGTACACACCCGCATATTGGACGACCCGACCGAAAATCATTTCACAACGCTTTATCTCCCGCGCTCCTGGTTGAGAGACGAAAAGAATACCGTTGAGATCCAATGCCGCTCAATACGCGAGACGGTAGTACTATTATAGCATGTGAAAATAGCGTGCCAACCAACCTTGCTCTACGAACATCCAGTGATACTCCAGGGAGGGTGCAACAGCGCCCATTTCCCGCCGAAGCAGGCACGCCCGGGCCGGAACGGCCGAAGCAGGCACGCCCGGGCCGGAACGGCCCCACGTACCTACCTCTTGAGTAGCGGGTTCTCGGCGGACACCTGGAGTCGCACGTCCAGCTCCCCCAGCCACTTCCCGCCCTTCCTCAGCCTCGAGGCCGCCGCGAAAGCGTCGTCGCCGCGGCCCCCCTCACCCCCACTCCCAACCCCTGCACCCCCACCCCACGACCTTGATCGGCGCATTCCTGGGCCTCCTCTGCCGTCGTCATCGTCATCGTAGATCATGCTCCCTAGGCCGTGGGTGGGACCGACCTCTAGCCCCGTGCTCCGTATTCTGGGCAGCTCTCCGTAGGTAGCCGTAAGAGCATCGTGCTTCCAAGACGGGTCGGGGAACGGTTCAACCTATATTGCGAGGGTGGGGTTGTAGGGCAGTCATGGGACGTTTTGGGATGAGTACCGCTGTGTGCCTCTGACTCCCCTTTTGGTGCATCGGTGCAGAAGAACAACTTTTAAATGTGTCCGAGCTGTTTCGATTCAGAGATAGCATTTCTTTGCTGGAGTTGTCTTCGGGAGAACAACTGAACAAGGTCAGGTGCACTTCGGTCGAAAGTCATCCAACGTTGTTTTCGCTCATCTTTCAGCACGAGACGGCGGTCAGTGTTCATACTTCAATTGGTCTAGATGCTGCTTGCTTTGGCTGGTATTTCAACCACTGGCTCTATCTCTCAGGCCACCAATCTCCTCTACCAATATACTGTAACAGTCTCTCAGTGCCTTCCGCTGATTCCGTTAAAAGAAAAACGTTGCTTGCCTGAGGGTTCATCCCGTCAAAACCGTTTTCGAGGCTGGCAACGAGACTCTTGCAAGCTCCCGCTAGATTCCGACTCCTCGGCTTCAGGCGATCCCGCTTGGCCTTCATGGCGTTGCCGAACGCCTGCTGCCTCGACATCAAAGAAACACGTTGGATTTGGGGTTCCAGACCCCCCCCGGGCAAACGAATGCTGCGCATCGGCGGTGCGGCAGAAGCACGGAGGGACGGACCGGGATGTGTGTGGTTTGTAGGACAGGATCGTTCTTTCACACGGAAGCTGTCGCTTGATTTGAGCCGGCTATGCTATGTCCTCACCGCGGTTTGTCGAGGAGTAGGCGATGAGCATTGTTTGTACGCGATAGGTTGCAGGAGAGCTATGGAACACACTTCCTCATGTACACATGTAGTCTGAGAATGTCTTCGGGAAAAGGGGGATTCGACACAATCAAAGAAAACGCGATCGGTTTGTGCATGTCCCTGGCTCGTTCAAGGGCTTGTCGACGTGCAGACCGTACTACAATTAGCTTAACGACGAGCTACCCGCTCATGAGCACTGGTTGCTTCTAAATTGCCAAACCTGTTGTCAAGGTAGGTACCCTCCCGCTTCGGGTGCACGCCAGCGTCAAGCTCGTGGGAGATACCCTCGTGCAAGAACTTGATTCGCATTTCGCGCCGATCCAGGAACTCGAAGTTCATACTCTTGTTCAGCTTGACATCGAGGACGCTGGTAGGTGGGGGCATGTGGGCACCTGGGTCATACCGCCATTCTCTTGCGATGTATCCGTGCCTATCGGTGATGAGCCCTCCCACCTTGAACAACGTGCACGCACCAGGAGTCAGTGCGTATGTAGGCGTCTAGCCTTTTACTCTGTAGGTCGACATCGGGAGGAGCTCATCACGTCGACCTGGTGCAGGCGAGAAGCTTTTGAAACTATCCCTACCTGCAGTTTACGCTCTGAGACTATGTGCATGTTCCAAGTATGCACTCGAGAAGTAGAACGTTCTACCGCCTGCATGCAGCTCTTGTGAGGAGGCTCACGACGTGCGAACAAGGGGGCACCCCGGTTCTGGTCCTTCTCAGCGCTCGCCGAATGTACGGTAGTTTCTGGGCGATGCACGGGCAACCCAAAGCTTTATTCGCACAGATACGAGGGGGTGGCTTTGAAAACACGGTGCCGTACTATCTAACCTTGTGTATGGTTTTGGAACACAACAAACGCGTGCGCTAATTTACCCAACGTTCAAAGTGGAAATATTACGCTGCAGAATAAGTTCTGCCGAGCAACCATATAAACATGCAAAAACATGCGCCGTCATCCACAGCACTTTTGTCGCGAGAATTCCTGGATGTATTGATAATCGACTTCTCTCTCAACGTATTTAGACACCTTGCTTAGCGCCAAGCGCACGCCGGATGGGCCCAGGAAGAATCCCACGCCATGCTCGTTGACCGCCCCGAGAGGGGTGGATCTCCGGTCGTCGCCGTAGACGTAATATCGACCACGTCCGTCAACAACTCCCTTGCACACTGCGACGAGGCCTGATGGGTAATAAATGAAGCCTGACCCGTCCTCCTTGAAGACTGACGCCAGCCTTCCCGAGGGGTAGTACTCGGCGTTGTCGGCCTTCGTTCCAACGCCGCCTTGTGGTGACATTTGTATGTAAGTATGTGTTGAAGACTACTGTATTGTACACAGCTACAAGACAGCTTGTGAACAACACTACTATCCACTGATCATAGACTAGACGGTCTTCGAGGGTATCGTCCTGTTGATGATTCTTGAAGCCGGTTTCGGGGGTTGTTGTGTGTGCCTGCTTTGACTGGCAGGGCCACGGCAAGACCGCCCGCCGCACCAAACAACTGCTGAGCGCTGAGCGGCCTGAGGTGCCCGACGTTTGTCGTCGCGTACGGCGAGTGTATGCACACGAACTACGAAGTTCCAGCGTGTGAAACACTACACTTCCCAGGCCGCAAGCAGGCAAATTGAACAAAAATTGTGCTTGATACACAAAACCTTTTCCTTGTTTTCGTAGCTCTAAGGAGGTTGGTACACACACGCTTGGAGCTGTTGTCGTCGTGGAGACGACAAAAAAATGCCGTCGCGTCTTACCCAAAAAACGGCAACAAAAAAAGGTACCCTGGCTGCAAGCTGTCAATCTCCACCGCAGCGCCCCCCCCCTCGAAACTTAGTCTCCCAAAATCTTGCTGCTCGGACAACCAACTGCTGCACAGGCACGCAAGACACCAGGCGAGAGCAAGGCTAGTGAAGGAGTGTTGGTCCAACTTCCGGCGGTGAGTGGGTTATTTTTTTATGGGTTGGACAGGTTGGTGTCTGGAATTGCCATCGTCGCAAATAGTCTATCTATTTAATGTAATCTCTACAGCAGTAGGGCTACAGAGGGGACAACCGCTGCCCCGACGTTCGACTCGGCATAACCCGCTGTGCGCGCGTGTCCTGCGGCAAAGCCCGTGCTTGACACCAGCACACGGCTGGGCTTTGTCGCGTGTGCGTTTTCCCGGAGGGAAAGCCCTGGGCGCCCTGACTGGCTTGCTCTCTCGAGGACGGCTGGCCCTTCGGCCTGCTGGCGGTTGAATCGTTAGTCTCCTTGGTCTGGCACACAAGCCAAGCCCTCTGCTTCACTGCCCCGTTTCTGCCGAGCTGACCCTTCCCTTTGGCAATGGCAACACGCTGGCGTTCAGGAAACAAGGTGCATCCAGTGCCGTTTGAAAAGGCTCGAGAAGAGAGCAGGAGGAGGCGATGTCGGCGCCGAAGTTCAGCGTTGGGGTGGACGCGGATCCGATGATGGTGGAGCAGACGATCGACAAGACTCTGGAGGAGATCATCAACGAGCGACGGAAGGAGGTCAAGGGTAAGTGAAGTGAGCAAGCGAGAGCCGGGAGGGGGGTGGCTCTCCTGTCCGCTGACGCTAAGGATCGCCGCCTCCGGCGTTGCAAGGGGTGCGGTTTGTTGTTTGTTTTGCCCTTTCGCAAGGAAGGGAGAGAGCTGAATTTGCTAAGTACCGGATGGTTGGATACGCCCTGTTCAAGTCGATCTACCCGCTGACTCCCTCTCAATCTTGTACACCTTCCTTGTTTCTCCGCGCGGTCACTACGGCTATACTACAGCACTAGAACAGCAGCAGAGCAGCAGCAGCAACAGCGTTAAGGTGCAACAGGCAGAGGCTGCGTACATAGTGAACAGCCGAATCGTGTGTCGGAGGCACATCGCACCCGGGTGTGCTTCTTTGTTTATCCGCTGCGGCGCATTATCCTCAAGTCGAGTCGCCAACGGCCCATCTTTTGCCAAGTACCACTTGATCGGTCAAGTCTTCAGATGCTGCGGCTGCAAGAGCCCTTCAGAACGCTCGTGTAACGCTTGTACCAGCGGCTTATTATGCATCCTTTTGTCAACTTGCCCCGTTAGACCCAGCCACCCACGAAGCGCCGGAGGCGTTTAGCGCCAAACCTACCGAAGAGCCCTTGGGAAGAACACGTGTTTCAACAGCCCAGGACATTCCTTCATCTTTTTTCAGCGGGGGAACGTAATCACCTTGCGATCCACACCGCCATGTACCGGGATGCTCTTGCCGGAACGCTGGATCATAACGCCTCTTTTTTAGAACTATCGATTTCACCAAATACCCCCCCCCCTGTTGTTCTCCCCGACAACAGCTACCCCCACGACCAAGAGCAAGAAGGCCGCAGCAGCGAAGCAGAAGGTGGCCAAGTCCGTCGGAACGTCCAAGGCCAAGAGGGACGCGGCCCTGTCCAAGAAGCGGGGCATCTCTGCCAGCGCCAAGCCATCTCCGGCTAAGATAGAGGCGGAGGTGCAGCGCACCAAGACACAGGTGTGTGCGTCGTGGCTCGCGAAACCAAAGGGCGTGTTGTGGCGACCGTACATGTATCAAGATCCCAAAGGCGGAGCGCACCCACTGGTGTAGGCTTTTTTTTCACAACACACACGTACGGGCTGTGATTCCCAACGTCAGTCGCAAACGTACCGACACAAAGCCAAGCTTCACCTCTCCTGTCTTTCTCTCGTTCTTCACCTTCTCCCTGCCGCGCCCCGCTACATGTCCCTCCATCTCTACGCTATCTCCCCCCCCTCCCTGCCTCGCTCAACGTTTTCTCCCCTCCCTCCCTGCCTCCCTGTACGTTGTCTCCCCTCCCTCCCTATACGTTGTCTACCCTCCCTCCCTGCCTCCCTCAACGTTTTCTACCCTCCCTCCCTGCCTTCCTCAACGTTTTCTACCCTCCCTCATTGTATTTCCTCTCCCCTACCTCTACGTCCTCACACCCCTCTATTCCGTCCCACCCACGCCCCCCCCGCGCCCCCAGCAATCGAAGAAGAAGGCGCGCCAGAACGCCGACGTTCTGGTCGCCAGCACCAGGGGGGTGAGCAAGGCCAAAGCCAAGAAGGCCCGGGCGGCGGCCACGGCTGCAACGGCGGCATCCAAGAAGAGCACAGCCGCCGGCAGCGCCAGGTCCAAGCGCGGGGGGGCGCGGCCGGGGGGAAAGAAGCAGGGGGTAGGCCCCGGAGGGCCCAAGCAGGCGGCGCAGAACATCAAGAGCAAGGGTTTCAACATCGGCGTGAAGGGAACCAGCAAGAAGCAGCAGCAGCAGCAGGCGCAACAGGAGCAGCAGCAGCAGGCGGGGAGGCGCGGTAGGTCGAGGAGGCGCCAGCGCGGCGGGGGCGAAGCAGCGGCCGTTGACGCCCAGGTAATTTTTTTTTTATTTTTTACCGCTTTGTTTTTTAGGCTGGTTGTTGTGTTTTGTTGGGATTTTTTAGGGCCGGAACGTAAAGAAGCGCCTAGGATCGAGGGGAAGGTGCTTCTGCTACGGTATTGCTGGCTGTTGCCCTCCTTGTTGCATGTTAACAATGCCGATGGCAACCGCAAAAGGGGGTACAAGTAGCTCAGTCAGTTTTCGGCCCAGCGTTTCATGTTGTATCTATGCCAAGTCAAGGGGTGGAAAACGTGGGGCAATCTTCTTGCTGTGGGCGCACTTGGAACGTTTGTAGGGCTGTTGGCAGCTCTTTGGTCGCACATAGGGCTGCTGTGTGCCGCTCGCTTCTGTGCCAGGTGGACGGGGCTGCTACTGCTTGGACTTTCCTCTATATTATTAATGGCAAAATTATCTTGCGACGCAGCCCTTTCGTCGCGAAAATTCGCTGCTTCGGTGGGAACACGCACACGCGCCCGGAGCCGCCTGAGCACAACAACCTCTTGCCACGAGACGCCGAAACGGGTCTCGCCGCGCTTGGCTTCTACCTGTTGTTGTTGCGATCGCCCTTGGAACACGTCGTTACGCCGCATGAGAATCAAGTCGCACAGGGAGCAAGAAGGAGTTTGTTCGGGATGGGGGAGCGGGGGGGCAGCGATGATTCGAAACGGTCAGGGTCGGGACCTGCGTGGAGCCGCCTGTGAAATCTCCTTTCTTTCATCTTGTGTCGTGGGTGACCTCTCTTTCAGTGCCCGGGTTCGTGCCCTCCTCTTTCCCACAGCCTTTACCACAAGAAACTATGTCTCACGCGTCAAACATGGCAGAGACGTGAACAGCGAGATGCACCCTCTGTGGTGTAGGCCGATGACGCTTTGTCTCGAGACGCATGGGTGTTCAATGCCTCAAGGCAAGCAACAAGTGGGTACGTTAGATAGCACCCCCATTCCACCACACCCCATCCCATCCGATCCCATCCCATCCCATCAATAATGAGTACGTTAGATAACCCCATCCCATCCCATCCCATCCCATCACCCTATTCCATCCCGTCCCATCCCATCCCATCCCATCCCACGTCGGCGGCCAGGCTGTTGTCGCCCCGAAGGCCAACATGCGCGCCAAGAGGAAGAAGAAGGGGGCGGCGGCGGCGGCGGCAAACGCACCCTTCAAGCCTGACCACAACATGCAGATCTCGTTCCACTCCGGCGGTAGCGGCGGCGGCGGCGGCGGCGTCACGCAAGGGGCGTTCGTCTTCGGTTCCCCGAACGGCAACGGCGGCAACGCCACGCGCACGAGAAAGCGAGGCACGCCAGTCACCAGCACCAGGCAGCAGCAGCAGCAGCAGCAGCCGACGTCATTCCTGTCCCCCACCTTCAACCCGGCGCCGCAGCCCATCAACAACGGCTTGCGCGGCAGCGGGGGGGTCAAGAAGGCTACGTACACCCCGCCCGCGCCCACGCGCAGGATCTTCAGCGGCGGGGTGGGCGACGTGAGGCGAGCGGGGCCGAAGGACGTTCGACGGTCGCAAGGAAACCCGGTTGACAGGGTGGTGAGCGAAACTTGTGACCGCTGTGTGTATCTTCCCGCAAAACAGGAGCAACAAGTCACAGCCGAATTGAGCAGTTAGGCTAGTGATGCACCACACGCACGAGGATTGGAACAACTTTCTAGAGCTTGGTGTAGAGCACCGAGTAGATGGTTGCAGGATGAACAAAAGAAGGGCGTGTCGTCCTGTTGTTTTGTTTTTTGTTCTTCGTGGTCGAAATATTTTGTGCTTGGTGTCGTGTGATGGATATTGATACTGCTGTTGCGGGGTTTTCCCGCGGAATCAGTGGTACAAACGAAACGAAAAACGGTGCATACCGTGTTCACCCACATTGCTTTCGGGGGGTGTTTTAGAGCCAGGCAACGTGCTGGATCGTCTAAGGGTTGGGAGTGAGTCGGCTGCGAAGAGAAAACGAAGTTGCAACTCGATCCCGTGATCCTTTTAAGCGTCAGCCCCGGCCTCGAGCACGCATGACCAGAAAAAACGAGAGAGAAAAACATTTGTGGCACGCAGTTCGCTGATTGGTCATAAAAAACTGCGGCGGTTGCTTTGGTTGCCCTATCCCTCGGTCACCTTCATCGTTTTTGTTTCTCTTGCCACGTCAATTCGTCCTCACGCTTCGGACAGGTGAGGGCTACTAGGAAGGCGAGGGCGGGAACGCTGGATGCGAGGAGGAACGGCAGACAGGTGAGAGAGAGAGAGAGAGAGAGAGAGAGGCTGCGGCTGCCGAGGTAGAAGTCGATCCCGGGTGGTACAATAGCCTTGAGTGATGCCGTTGTTGTTGTTCGCTACTGTAGGCTCGAAAACAACCAGCTAATGAAACACGTTTTTCTTGTGGGAGACAATTACTCGGGTAAGGCTGAACGAACCTGGATCTTTAGGATCAGAAAGAGCCGGACGTGTTAACGCATGTGTGAGGCAAAGAAGTACCCGGCGTATGACTAAACGAATGTGGATATTTCGACCGAAATAATCTCATTATTTGGTACTTCTACATTAGTAAGGGGTGTCACCAGCTCCGGTGGTCATGGTCAAACGGCGTTGGTGGTGGGCATTTGGCGTCTGCTCGGTGCTTGGAAACGGCGGTGAAGGGAAACATGAAACAAACAAGACGGAAACTACAGTACGTACTATAGTACGTGTCCCGAACATGGCGTGCCAGACTCATCTTTTTCGGGATCGGTTCAGAAAGAAGTTCGCCGAACTCTTGGTCTGCGCCTGGTGTGCGTGCGCTTTGCATGCCTGGTCAGAGGCCCTAGCCCGCTGTTTTGAGCTGTCGTTTGTACCCTTTTTATACAGGATTAGAAATGAGTTGTACCCCCCTCCCCCATTGTCTACGCATGTTTGACACCCACAAGGCCAACGGCGGAAACCCTAACAATGGCGGCAGCGGCGGCGGAGGCGGGGGCAAGGGAAGGAAGGGAGGGTCCCGGCGGCGCATCGTCCTCCTCGACCAAAGGCCGTGAGAAAAAGCACGCAAGGATAAGGAAAGCGCTTGAACCACGACGGGGAACATAAAGAAACGCCAACCAGGACTCTTGACACAACCTGGGAAAAACGAAAGAGGGCGGACGTAGGAAAACGGCGGCACGGTAATGGAGGTGTCAAGCGTGAGCGGGGCGAAGGGGGGGTGCAATCGTAGAGCCTCAGGCCCGCTTTGTGCCTAGATGCAGCACCCCGGTAGCAGCACTTCGGGGGAGGATTTTTCAGCTGTCAGGGCGAGACAAAAGCAGCACGCCTCGCGCAGAGCCCACGAGGTGACCGAGAGATGTGCGACGGTGCTAGGTTTCGTGTTGGCCGGGTGAAGGCCAAGGAGCGAAAACGGCCATACAGAGTGTCGAGAGGGAGGGAACACGGAGGGTTTGGGTGGTGCTACGTGTAGTTGAACACCCGCTATTCCGCAGGTAGTAGGCTGCATGCAGGCGAACACCCGCCATTCCGCAGGTAGTAGTAGAGCGCGCGTTTCACGGTAAGCGGCGCTACTGTACCACGACGAAAACGCATCTATTATAGGGTGGAGGGTGCCGTCACACAGATGCGTTGCTAGAGGGGGCCCTGTTGTGCTTGGGCGAGGGGGGGGGGGGAGGGGGGGCGAGGACTGTTTTTGGCTGCGCCATGCTGATGTTTCTACTACTCCGGTGGTCGTTTGTGTTATCGATACGGCAGAAGAGAACGTAGCCTGGGTGAAAAATTTGCTCCTTTGTGGTCCGGTTCCTGCCCCGTTGTGACGAGGTTGTTAGGCCAAGACGGAGCGACCTTCTTGTGGTTGGGGAGTTGGTACAACACACGGTGATGTTTCGCCATTCATTTTTGGAAAGGATACACCAGAGAGCCACGCGGGGGGACGACGGGGGGGGGGGGGGCTGTGTTTTTGTAAGATACTCTTAATCACGGTAGTCTAGACCGAACGAAGTAGTCAAGCGTTGTTGAAAGTGTTTTTATGCGGAAGGTTTCGATACAAGCTCGTTGGGTGCTCGTCCCCGGCTGGATGTACAGTGGTGCCCGGTGATGCGTGGCTTCGAGTAGTGTTGCCTCAGGTGCCACAACCAACGCTTGGCTGTGTGGCAGCGACGGTTCGTCATTCGCTGGTGCCACTGGGGAGGGGGAGTCTAGAGACCAAGGGTATAATAGCGGCGGGAGCATCACTGCGGGAGAGAGGCTGTGTTGCCCCTTCAGCAGGTGTCCATGAGGCTGGAAGTACGCTAACGAGGAGAACGATAGATGAAACTGGCCCGTTTTCTGTGTGGCCCCAACTGAGAGGTACGAAAGGGGTGGAGACTAGCACCAGAGTAGAGGAACACGCACACACTTGGATGCTGTTTTGGACACCTTCCTGGGACCTTGATTTTACCCACTGCCACTGACGTGTTTTCCTTGGTCAGCCGGTTGGCCCTGTCGATGCCCGTTGATAGAACACACACGCTTATGGCGGCGAATGTTTCCGGTCGTGTTGGGTGTGGAGGAGAATATTCTTGTTTTTTGGGCGTCCTTCCGGTGCTCGTGCCCTCACCTGGGGACGGAGGAGAGGAGAGCCTCGCGTTGCGGGCATCTTGGGGGTGCGAACGGAACGGACTGCTGGTTGTACGTGCGGTTGTGTTGTTGTGCGGGTTGGTGGCTGCCACGCTTCGTTCTGGCTCCGGTCACCGGTGGAAATAACCAATTCTTTCCATATTTTGTAAGTGTCTTGTTGTTGGCGGCGTTGTCTTCTGGAGGGGGACGGGAAAACAGGAGGAGGGGGGGGGGGGCAGCAGCTGGGAAGGACACTAAGAAGTGACGTTTGGTGGTTCCTTGTAGTTGAACTGCTGGTGCTCGTGCTTCCTGATGCATATGTTGGCACGTCTTCCGTGTCACTTACCTAATGGCGGCAACCGCGTTTGACTGAACAGCCGCGTGTGCATCTTGGTTGTGTTTTTTACGGCATCGACCACGCTACATGGCTGATCGAGTTAACCACGATGTCGTCGGCCGGTTTCAGCCATGGCTGCATCCAATCAATGCGGCCAGATTTCGAGGAATTGGCCGTTGTGCGCGTGTGTAGCGCGAGAGACACAACACGCCTATCGGTTGGTGCGCGTTTTCTCATCTATCTGTGATTTGCGCTGTGGCACGTGCAAACTACACGACTCTGGTCCGTGCTGTGGATTGATTCTCGGTACCTTCGTGTCTTGGTGGTTTCACGTCGGAAAAACGAGGTTAATATGCAAAGTGGTAGTTCTATCGATTTCTCGGAACTGGTGCATATCTCACTACATATATAGTAGGTGTGACATCGGGGTCAAATGGAAAAAAACAAAACAAGTAGCCATTAAGCACCTTGTAACCGTAGGAGCATCAGCCACGCGTCTTGGGTCGGAATTCCGTGCGGTTCGTCCCTCTTCCGTGTTGTTATTATTTTCGCCATCTGTATTTCTTTGTTTCGTGTTCCGGTAAAGCGTGCACGGCGTTTGGTATGTACATCTAACTAAATTTTTTGTCTTTTTTGGTGCTGCTCTACCTTTCGTGGTGCGGCTACCCGTGTCTGTTCTGTTGTGGTCAGACGCTACTCTTACGATATCGAGGGCGCGGGGGTTCGAGTGAGAAGGCATGGGGGCGAAACAATTTTTTTGAGTCCCGGGAGTTTGCAACTTTTAGCTTTGCGTTGGTTGGTGAGACGGTGGTTGGTGTGATGCGATACAAGGGGTGTCGGAGGTTCCGCTGAATGGAGAATGGATGGGAGTGTGGAAAGAAAAAAGGATGATACTCCATATAGCTGTACACTGCGTCGATTACTACAGCCGCAACAATGAAACGAGTGCCTCCATTCCGATTCAGGGCACCGACGGCGGCAGACAACGTTTTGTTACGTCTACTTCAAGCGAACTGCCGTGTAGCGCACGACAACACTGACTTACTGGTGGTTCTCTCCTGATTGTTGGGTGCGACGAAGTTACCCCGGGCATGGCCACCGAACTGCTGTCTTCTTGCATTGGACGTATGTTTCATCCGGAAATACATGTTTGCCCCGGACAAAATCCTGGTCTCACTCCACGGCTCCCCCACACTCCACATGTTGGCACTTGTACGTGTCCAAACGGGAGTGCTCTGAAGCAACGATTCGCGACTTGAATGATGGAACCGTGTCCGATATCCTTGACACAATTGTCCGCATCCTCGGTGCCCCCCTCCCGAGCTGGCCAACCAACCAAGCAGAGAGTATGACCCACACATGTTTTCACTGAAGACCCGACCACTAGTCGACATCATCGACGACCACAGGAGGCAACACCATATTCACCGCCGGTATGTAGCAGTTCCAATACGACGTAGTATTGGCTTGGTTTTTCCCTCGTCCAGGAAAAAACAGACGCATTTTTGCCAGGTTGCCTCTTTTGGTTGGCCCCATGATCTGATTTTGCCCCCCCCATCGTTGCAACAACCGAAACCCTCTCGGTGTTACATAACGTCCCCAGGTGAGGTAAAAGCTGTGATCGCTCTCTCCGTTTGCGCGCCCCCCCCTCATGATGTCGCCCTCGGTGTCGGCCATCGGGATTGGGTTTTCGTCGATTGGCAACGACGTTGTAAAACAAGCCAATTCACTTCGTGAGCTCGGCAACCAGGTTACCGCCTTTTTTGTACCTCTGTTTTTTTTTTTGGCGGTTACCATAATGGTAGTCGAGTAGATCATGTTGTGCGGGGTCGAGAACCCTCACTCCGTGCAAGGGGGAGGATCGCACCACGTTGTGTTAAAATGGTCAAGCACCCTCGAGGCAGGTACACAGTGCTTATAACTGTCTCTGGAAGTGAAAGCACCAGAAAAATAAATTGAGTCATACGCAGATGTCATCCGTACGCAAGGAAGTAAGAACAAGATGCCGAACACCCTTAGCAGGATGCAGCGCACCCTTCATGCGACTCGCCGAATACCTCACGGCGCTTCGCGCTTGGTGATGTGAGAGCCTGGTCCGGTGAGAACCCGGCGTGCTCCGTCCCGGCTTTGTAGGGATGCGAGGTCAATGGTCTAACGACTACGGCATGCACGACTATGAGTACACCCCCCCCCCTCATGACCCGGCGACGACTTGCACCCGTCGCACCGGGGGGGCTTCGCACTATTGGACAATAACTCGCACGGTAGTGCCCCCGAACGTCTTGACACCCTTTTCCCCGACAGTTCCGGCTACCCCTCGCAGGGGAACCCCATCACCGTCGTCGTCGTCGTCGTTGAGCGAGCCCCCGCCGTAGTTGTAGCGCCCTTTCCCCTTGGAGAAGTCGAGCGGCAACCCTCTCGGCGACACCGCCTTTGCTGCTGCAAGGGCGTACTACAAGGAGGGGGGAAGGGGGGAACAGGATTTGGCGTACAGGGTGGGAAAAGCTCGAGACTCACTGCTTCATGCACTGTTCTGGTTGGGTGTCGGTGTGGTTATGTGCATTGTTACCGCCGTGACTGAGACTGGTGCAACGTAGAAAACACAGAAGTGAGATTCGTCTGTCTACTGTCTACCGTCAGCCCCTCTAGTGCCGGAATTTCCCTCTACATAATGAGTTTCCCATAGAAACGTTTTCGACCTTGCGCTCATGACATATTCTCAAACACAATTCGTGTTTTCTTAACCTTGTCAACCTCCAGCCCGGATTGGAGTACGGAGATAGTAGCGCTTACGATAGAACACAAGACTCTTAGGAGCGACGGAATGCCAACCAATCAGGGGCTTCGCGCGAGCCGGGTCAAACCCCTTGGCACGACCCGTGAACTTGTTCGGACCAACCGGACCCTCCACGAGCCGGTCCATGGGACTTCGACCGGACCCGAACCAACTCGTACACTTGAAAAGGAACGTGTGAAAACATCTGCAGCCATTATTTCCCTCCGAAAAGCGGCCGTCTCTAAAACGTGCGGCATACCTTGTTGTTGTGGAAGTCCCGAGCCGAGCACAAATCGCTCGAACCGGAGTTGAGGCACAGTGCTGGAACAGACCGGAAAGCAGCAAGCTCGTCCTGCGGGAGCACGGCCACCTGGTGCCTCTATTTTGTTGTTGCCATCGTTGTTGTTGATGTTTGTTGTGGCCGTCAGACACCGGAAGAAGGTTTTGAGCAACGGGCGGTGGATGGAGGGGGGGGACAGGTTGGCGCCGGGGTTGCTTGCGACGTAGCGGGAGAGCAGCCTCCCGTTGAATGGTATTTGAATGGTGGATGATATTTGAGATGGGTCTTTGTTGGCAAGTAGCGTACATGGTGTAAAGAATCAAAATTGTGTCCGGCTGTGAGGGGGGGGAATTACTTTTTGGGAGAGTACATGCGTGGCACCGGGGAAATGGAAGGGCAGCTATATTATTCCCCCTCCCGTCGGGTATTCTGCGGTACCTCGAGCGTGCAACAGGATAGTCGACTAGCACACTTCCGCGTACTACTACACGGAACCACTAACTGTCCTTTGTTACAACATACAATCCTTTTGCATGTTTTCTCCTTCTCGCCTTCTTTTCCTCGAGCAAAGCGGACGACGCCCTCCGGCTGTTTCTCCTGTTGCCTTTTCTCGCCCCCGTCTTCTTCCCTTCCATCTCCATGGCTGGTACACGAGCGCAATCAACGCTCTATCGCATCCGAAGGACGCGTACGTTTTGCGGTTCCACAGTCGCGGTGGTCGATCAGCCAGTCCCCAACGACAACAAGGGCAGGGGGCCGGGAAAGACTTGTTATCACTGCATGGCCGCTGTCCTCAGGCCATGAGGCCCTGACCTACATCCCTGCGAAGATGGTACGGAGCGCGTCGGGGTTTTGCTGACCAAGTAGGCATACCACCCCAGTCCGGGAGACGAGGGGAGAGGGGCTACCGTGCATGCGAGCCCCGAGAGGCGGTTATCTGACTGATCGACCCTACTGACAAAGGCCAGCACAGCCTAGACATAGCACCGTCATTAATTCGCGGTCAGTAGGTCAAGCACTGGCTGGTAGCTCACTGGAACACTTTCCCTACCGAACCCTCGGTCTCAAGCCCCCACGCATGCTGCTCGTCGAAATTGGGGTCACGCAAGCTCGGCTGGTCAGCGGTCAAACAAGCTACAGGGCTACTGTGGTTATTGCGAGCTTGGATGGTCCAGAGTCAACAACTGTGGCTCCTTCCCTTGATGACAAGGGTACCAAAGTGACGTGATCGACAATTCTGTCATTCCTCGCAAGTCGTGCCCTTTTATCAACCCTTTTCAGCCGTGCCCCGGAACAATCAAAGCCCCCCATACGTGTCCTCTGCTTCTTATGTTTGGCTTTCGGGGGGTTCCACCTCGGGAGTGTTGTTTCTAACCGGCAGCAGTGAAGATTGCGGCCTTCCTCGCATCAGGCGCCCAAACGGCGTGACCGGCGAGCACAGCGATACCGGCGAAGACAAGGGTTCTCGGTGGGCTTTGCGGGGCGGCGGCACCGTGGCGGGAAGACAGGTACCGACGCCCCCATCGTCACCTCTCCTGCGACGACAACGGCGAGTTGAAGGAAGCGACAAGAGCAGCCGAAGGTAGAGTATAGTTTTGGGAAAATTGTGCCCGAGACGAGGTTTTGCTTGGCTTTTGTCAGCAAGAAGGAAGCCTCTTTGTTTTGCCGGATATGCGTCTCTTTGTTCTGCTTGTTCAACGTTCAACACACGCAACGCACGACGTCAAGAGTGAGCACCGGCATCTGCTCCGTTTTTCAGCGTGAGACGTTCTCTTTATGGCATACACGGTCGAAAAGTTCATATCAGAACAGGAAACGAACATCAGCGACAGCAACCCTGTAGCAACCGTAGCAGCAACAACTTGTCAACAACGACGACGACGACGACGACGAGTAGCCTGTTTGTTGGGCAGAGTCTCACTCACCCCCAACCGGCTCTGCTTGTTTCTACCCCTCGCTTCTCCGGCCCATTTCCCGGCAGGTGTGACCCCGCCTGCAAGTATGCGTGTATACACCAAAACGACAAACGAAGCCGAGCGGGAAACTCGATTAGAACAACAGGTTCACTGGGTCTTGGGGTTGACATTGGTTAGTGTGGACAATCATACTATAGCGTTCCGTGTAGTACGAAGATATCACATGCCCATCTTTTCTTTTCTACATGAGAATGGCATACAAACACATACATACGCTATACCCAGGTGCACACACCGCAAGAAGATACAATCCCTGGGTGGGCATAATACTCTGTGCCTCGCCCGTACACCCACATGTCTCCAGGTGGAGGGCAGCACAACATCCCTGATTGTCATCTCCGTTTCAACGAATGTGATCCATTACGTAGCTCGCCTGGTGTTGAGACTCGCGAGCCGGGTCGTGCACCAGAAAACCCGTGCCCTGGTGGTGAGGCACCTTCGCGAAGCAGATCGCGCAAAACGACAGCTTGCACTCGGCGCACCACAGTGCCGATTCCCTTTAATTGGAGCAACGACAAGCGTGGCAAAGGCAAAGGTGTTGTGTGTCATTACCCCAAAGTTCACATTGATTATTTTAGTGGCGAGTTCCGCGACTCTATGTCACTATGTTGCTCTGTGGTGCTTCGTGATTTGTTGAGGAGTATGTTCACCCCCACTAGTGTGACTACGTGCTACACACCAATTGTTAGTTCGAATAGGAGGCATCCGGAAGAGAGAGAGAGAGAGACATGTTTCCACACACACCAATAACGGCAACGACGATACCAACCAAAACGAGGCAGCGCCATTCCGAACGTCGTTGCAACCCTGGAGTTCGCGCTACCGTCGGATTGAGCAGGGAACGGCAAGAGGTTATTCACCTAATTCGGCATAGCCGGCACGGCAGAACAATCAGCTTCTCTCTTGACGGCGCCACCTGCTTTCAGAAGGCACCAGCAGCAGGCGCGAGAGTTACGGTATCGCGACGCGCGTGAGTCCTAACCTTTCGACGGGTGCAAAGATATTCGCGGGGGGCACGAACATGACGACGGTTCAAAAGTTCCACACATACATGCATCCTGGCAACGTCCCCCGGGATCGACATTGACAAAGGTAGACGACAAAATCAAGCTGGACCCGGTAAACGTCAACACCAGCAACAGACAACAACGTTCGCGATGGAATCACCAAAACCCCTATATTTGTCGGAAACACACATTCCTCCTGAAGACTTCCATGCTTTCGTTGCCCTACTCGGTGCTCTTCACGCACGATCCAGATTACCGGCAACAACAATACGGAACAAATTCTCCAAAATGTGACCACCTCCGTCTGCCTTGGGCTCGTCTGGAGGGAGGGGGAGTTGCGGCCCGATTTGTCGACACCAAACAGATAGGATACCAGAGCCGAGATGGCGTGCGTGCGCATCATGCGCGTACGTGATCGTACGGCCCCATTCCTTCGATATCGACACCGGCTAGTTATCACGCCTTGTCGACGATTCGGGCGGTTTGAGCGTGCTTCCTTCTTCACCGGCTGGCGGAGGCAATATTTTCTATCTGCGCAAGCAACATTTAGCAACCTCACAACCCGAGGACAGCCACCCCGTCGGTACGAATCGTTGTCCCGCGTTACGGCCGATATTTAGTCGGCAGAACCGACCAACCTGTCCCGGCATCTAGTAGTGCGAAACAAGCGTTGTCGGGGGCACGGAGGATTCCGACCATCCTTGGTCACACCTTCGCCGCGGCCCTGGACTTTCCCGCCCCCGTTGACAGGGACCCCGTCGACAGCGACCCTTCCAGCGACCCGTCCAGGCTGTCCACGCCATCCGCCCCCCCCCCAGGACCTGCCCTACCTGCAAAGGTCTTGTCGCCATCATTGTCACCAATGTCGACGCAGGTGGCACCGGACAATCGGTACCCGGCTAGCGCAGCACAACACAAGTTGGACTCCGGCGGTGCAGTTCCGCTTCCTTCCGCGCTGTCATTGACGGCGCAGCTCGCCGGATGAGAATCTGCAGCGGACGGGTGTGCTCGGCAGTGTTGTTGGTGGCTTGGGAAGCTCCTCTGGGAATCTTCAAGAAAGTTACAGTCACGGCTGCTTGCACCGCCGCCGCCACCACCGGCCCCGGCACAGGTAGTGGGCGACCTCGATTTGTCCGGTTTCTCGTCTTAGGAGTAACCAACAGACAGACAGGCGGGAGGCGGAGCGGTGCCGTCGTAGTATGTGTCTTGCGCGAGCGGGTGTTGTGGGGAGGTGATACTAGAACAACGCGATCACAGTACCCCTTCCACGAGCTGAAACCCTCCCGAACGGAGCGCTTCTATGTTTCGTTGAAACAGGCGTCTATGTTTCGTGGAAACAGGGGGGCTGAAGTATGCGGGTGCACTCACTGTGTGGCGTGCCTCAGCCATTCGACTAGTCACTAACCACCCAGCCGTTTCCAGACCAGGTACCATTGACTCCTACTCCCAACGGAGATGCCCACAAGTACAAGAACAAAATACACCGCTCTTGCTGTGGCCGAAGCTTACCGGCCCTGGTGCCTTGTCGGGGAGACGTCCGACACTGTGACAACGCTGTGGGCCCTCGACCTGGGTGTCGTTGGATCTCGAGAAGCCTTCGAGGCAGACGTTTTGAAGATGGCAGGGGGCGGAGCGGGAGAAGGAGGTAGTGGGTGAACGCACGGCAAAAACTGTCACGGGAGAGTTGGTGGTCGGGTTTGACTCTTCAAGGGTTGTGATACGGGAGGGAGGCGGTCGTGTGTCCATGCGGAAGGTGTGTCGTCTCGCCTTGTGCCCGCCGAAAGAGTCACCCTTTCGTTCTCCCGCGCGCCTGGACATCACTGAAGTGTTGACGACAACCACACCGTCCCTCACGCTCTACTCACGTCTGCGCGTTCGTACCCTATCGACGGCCGGAGAGAAATCTGTAGCCTTCTCTAAATCTATTTTCATCTCCTCCGGCGTGACCGAATGGTCAGCGCAACGACTGTATCACACGCTCCACTAAGTCCTGTCTCCTCCTGGTGTCAGATCGTCCCTGAAAATACTTCTAAACACGTTCGTTCTCTTGGGCGCTCTCTCGGGAGGATAATTGCTTTGGCCTGGCTTTTACTCGTCGTTTTTTCTAAAAAATGGACACTGAGAATGATCCGTGAGGAGGCGGACGGGCATTGTTCCATGACAACCAACGAATCGGGTGGCTAAGACGCAGCATATTTCTTGCGTCGCGGCCTAGCCCTGCTTCCGTGTACCAATCGTTGTGCACCAGGGTCGGTCGCACGAAACGCCAACCAACGGCGCAAAACGTCGTCGGCAACATTTCGAGCTATGAAGGCGAAAACTTGGCGTACCTGGCACGGTTGCTCCTCAGCTCCTCCTGGAGCAGCAGCGCCTTTTGCGACTCAGAACCTATTAGCAATCGAGCGTCCAGAGCCTTGACCTGATGGGGACGGCAGAGACACGAAATATTCAACAAGAGCAGCATGGCAATACTCAACAGTAACGACGACGGCGACGACGACGAGGCTGTGGTTTCTCGGGCAAGCGAAACAAAAAACGGAATAGACATTCGAACAGCCTGACGTATTGATGGTCCTCACAACGTGCCCGGTTGCGCGAGTGATGGGTAGCGCTACGACATAGGTAATAACTAGGTGGGTACGCGGCTTGGCTTGCTTGATTGGTGTGTCACCTGTGACCCTGTGTTTGCTGTCGCGTGCGCAGATCCCGCTGCAAATATGCCCCTCGCAAGAACGATTCCAGTCTTTTGGCTTTCGCTGCTGTCTCTAGCATCGTCGCCGCCACTACTACTATCCGCGCATTGCTTCACCCATGCCGGTGGCCAGGACCGGAGTCTTCTCGCCAGAATTTTGCGGGCAAAGAGGAGAAGAACTAAACGATGGACCGCCATGGGGCACGTGCTTATAGCGAAGTAATGTCGACATTTTTGTGTCAGGGCGTCGATAACGTTGTTGGCGTTCGTGATAGTTACAACAACCGAAGCTGGTGACGTTCTTGTTACTCCGCAAGGAATTGATTCCGCCACCACGTGGATGCCTGGCGAAGGGAGACAAACGAGAAGTCTGTTCTGATAGACGATACAAGGCCTGAACGTGAGAGCAGCAACGAGAACCATTGCCCCGATACTCTAACAGTGCTCTCTTGCCATAAACAATGGCATGCACGCCTCACCCCTTCCCAAGACATCACTTTGCCCGCTCTGAAGGTCAACGGCTGAATCGTTTCTTCTGGTATTCTTTCAATGTCGCCTTCACGAACCTGTCGGCCTTCTGCATCACCAAGAAACTGCTTCCGTCGGCGCAAGTGGCGCCACCCACCATCGATGTAGCCGTAGCTCTTTGGCCGTCACCGCCGCCGTCGACCAAGGCTGCGCCTTCTCGCGGGGGCGACGAACAACTACTACCGTGGCCCAATCGGTCGGATAAGCCCCCGGCGGTCGACGCGGCATGGGGATGTTGCTGCTGTCGCCCTCTTCTTTCTGACCGCTTCCGGTCTTCATCCTCCTCTTCGCGCTGATTCCCTTGCCGTGGCTCCGCGTTTTCTTTTCGTCTTGCCGACCTCAGGAGCCACCGCCCGCTATCGTTAGGGCTGATAGTCTGTCGTGTTGATGATGGTTCAAGGGAGGCGTTTGGGAGCGAACGTTTCACTGCCGGTATGGAGCTTCAGTGCGCTTGACTGAGCTCACCGGTATTTCCTCGTGAAATCGGTTTGAGGAATTGACCTGGCCTGCCGCCGTTTCTCAGCAGGCTAGGAGATTTTGGCGGGCCCTTGCATATAAGTACCGCTGAGTCGGTTCAACGAATAAATAGGTTCACCATGATTTACTCAAGTAACGGAGATCGCGGTTTCATCCAGCCCTATTTTTTCGACCAATGCGTCTATATTTGTGGGAGTGGTGTAAAGCCCCTTGCGTGGCGATAGTTTGCGCCCTGTTCAGGTCGCTAACAACTACCTCTACCGAGTGTGATGTTCGTACTGGCCTCGAGCGTTCTCGCCTTCGAAGGCAATACGACTTCTTCAGTGACGGGGCAGGGACGACAAGATGGGCTCCGGCCAGACGTTCGATCCTCTTTCCTAACTCCTCTTCTGGTAGCGGTGCACGAGCCACCATCCCAAAACGCCACGCATACGGCAAACCTACGGTACCTACTTCCACCACCCCGGGAGATTCTTTTGCTGCTGCTTGCCTGACCGAAACCAGCAGGAAACGATCCCCTCAACGGCGATTCGGGCGGCGCAACGCTTGGCCTCACGAGGCCTTCGGTTGCCGGACGATTAGCAGGGTCGTTGTCCTGGGGAAGCACAGACAAACGTAGTCGGGTGTGTACGGTGGGTACGGCCATGCGCCACAGGATGGGTTCATGTGTACAATGGGGTACGGCCAAGCGTCGCATAGGATAGGGAGAGTTACGCCCTCCTGAGGACGTTTGTTCGACCGAAGCTAAGGGAGTGGAGGTGGCCTGTCATGATGTCGGCGTTGTTCTGATGCGTGCGTTCTCCTGACAAGCTAGTGTCGTCGTTTGTCACTTCGCTGGACAGTGTGGAGTTCGGAAGCGTCATCCACGTGTGCCTATTGCTGCGACGTATTTGTGGGTGTTGCAGCGAATGAAGGCACGGCATCCGGAAGGTGGAAAGGACAACCATTGACCGCTGGCTCGCTGTCGAGTCCTCCTTACACTGCCCGCAAATCGCTTCCACCTGTTGGTCTCCTCCAATCGTGCGACAAGCCTCGAGCAGCACGGAGTAAAACGTTGCTTGCCGTCTCGTGCCTTCCGCCGCCCCGATTCTTGGCCAATACAAAGAAACAAGCGAATTTAGGCGCAAGTTTGTCACGATTGGCGCGCAGTGTGTGGTCGGATTTGCAGCGCGATCCCCACAGGTAGACGTCGCTCTGTGTCGATTTGGGAGCTTACATGTTTCCACACGACAGCTGCACAATCAGGGTGGTACTAGCCCAGCACTGGGAATCGTTGATATGTGCGTGGTGCTGGATATTGTGTACGTCAGACAGGAAACAGAGGTACACGTCGACAATGGCAGTGTTGTCTTTTAGGCTCACCCCTTGGTCATGCCCAAACACGCCTCGTCGAACTGTTGGAAATCCATCATCGTGCGTCCCTGCGTTTAGCAGAAACACGTTGTTGTTGTGTGTACTGCTTCATTTGGGTGGTGACCATTTCATGAGCAAAGAACGAGGATAGTGATTCCAGTCGTTTGCACCAAAACTGGAAGTACGATTGGAAATTTGATATACTCACAACTGATCTCGGAAGACGGACAATACCAAGGAACTTCACTTTCCATTCTCCTTGCAGAGGAGCACTGTTCCACGGCATCAATGTTTCGAGGAGATGGAGTGTCCAGGAGCTGTCGATGTCCCTGACCGCCTTGTCCCCCGTTGACTTGTCTTACAGGTAGCAGAACAGGTGAACTCTACAGCTGGGGTGAAAATTGCAAAACGACGTGCAAGATTACACGCAGTTGCTACCGAATTATCAATTTCGTGAATCAGCCTTGCGAGTAGTAATCTGGCACGTCGTTTTGCAATTTTCACCCCAGCTGCAGAGGTCGCCTGTTCTGCCACCTGTAAGACAAGTCAACAGGGACATCGACGACTCCTAGCCACTCCGTCGCCAAGAAACGCTGGTGCCATGTAATATAGTACCTAGCTCAGGGTCACTATAGTCAATTGTTCGTGACCCCTAAGTAATATACTGTCGCGCTTTGGAGTTTGTCTTCCTCATACGGACCGTTCGTAACCGACCTTGCTGCTCGTTGCCCAGTTCATCTCTGCGTCGGAGCGAAAGTCGCACTGCCCGGAACCCGACATCTCTTCCATTCGGCGGTGGACCTACCCAGAGTGCCCAATAGTGTCATAATTTGCGAGAAAAAGGCCGCCAGAAGGGTGGGAAACGGACGCGCAGAAAATTGGTGGCAGCAGAGTGTTCAGGGTTGCATGTAGTGCGGCTAAGCTACAGAAAAAGAGGGGAAACATCTACTTGCGGTTGTACAGCCTCCGAAGGAGCCCGCTGTAGCATGTTATCGCCAAGACACGAAAGTGCACGACAACGTGTTGAGATTCTACGGTTTGAAACATGACTTCACGGAGAAAAAATCGGGCAGCCAAGAATGTCCCTAGCGGTAACGTGTGCGCACACTACGTTTACCTCCACGTGGATGAGGATGAAGGTCGCCTTCGAGATGGCGTTGCGCCCTCCCCTGTGTCACCGGGGAAATACACATTGATATTCGATTGATGCAAGGTCAAGGCCTTGGGCGAGAGATCAGGAAAGAGCTGGGAGGGGAAACTGGTTCGTGTCTGTCTGTCTGTTTGTCTGTCTGTCTGTCTGTATTGTCTCTCTGTGTAGCCAATGCGAGACTGTTCAAGTGGCAACAACAACCGTTTGACGGTTATCATTGGCCTCCACCACACCCGGAGGGATTCCGCTACCCCATCTTATCCAGGCTTCCTTTTCTCGTGTATGTTTCATTGAGTGAAACTAGCGATCAATGTACTCTCCTTCTTCCATTTCAAAAAGTACTATTTGGGGTCTTCCTTGCCCTGTCATTGTTTTTGGTTGGTCCAGGAACATTTAGTTTCTTCCCGTTATTGTTTAGTTGTTGTTTCTGCTTTCAAATATTCTTGTAAAACCGTGCTATTCTCTGCTCAGTCCCTTCTGACATTTGGTATTGGTCCGACTGTTGAGGACGCCATCCATAGTTACAGGCAGACTACTGCACACCACAGACGTCGCAGGAGACATATCAGGGCTCTTCGCGGCCCGTCGACACGCGATGTCAACCACAAAAAAACAAAAAAAGTACTTCAAGATCACCAGTCAAGACCATGAAATCGGATGATCCTGTCCTTGCACCCCTACCAGGACTGGGATTACTGCTGTACCATATGTTGGTGTAGCTTGTGATCACGGAAATTCGTATCGGGTATCCATTGACCTGTCTTGAAGAGTAGACAAGATGACTTGGAGCTATGCGATAGAGGGCAGCAGCGACTTTTGCTGTACACAAGTTAGTTGTGCCGAACGCGGCACAGGTCTGCTGCTACAACTGCGTGCGTGCCTACGTGCTACCTGGTGGTCTAGTGCTCATCATGCTTCTTAACAAAAGTTAGTGCCCGAGTCCGTCAATCTTTCAAGCCACACACACGTCCCCCCGTCTTGCCCGATCCGGTCATTGCGCACTACCCATTCCGAACAAGACCTGGCGACCTCCTTCCAGGCCTCCTGGACAACGTCCTTCGATCGTGTCGATCCATGCCCTCCATTCCCTTCGCCTCCGCTCTGTGGGGTAACCGAATATCGCCCGTCTCCACCCTCGTTCCAAAGTGGAGCCGACCTGTGCATCGGCAAGCGATTGGTCGGAAATCACTTGTGGTTGCAGTAAATAAAAAGTGTGTCATATAGACATCGTCTACGCCTCTTTATCGCCGGAGCCCTTACGTTAAGTAGACCTGCTACACACCGGAACATCCCTCACTTGCAAGCTAGATGTGCATTCGGTGCATTTGCCTTGCCGGGTCTGCTTGCCCAGTCTGATAGCTTCAGTTGGACTCATAGGCGAAGGGATACTGTAGAACAACCTACCCTGGAGGCCCCGCCGGTCGTGCTTCGCCCAAGTTCCCTCGGCCCAGATCAGGCGTGCGAACAGAAGCAGTGCCCCGCTTCTCTTTGCGAGCGCAATCTTCATCCGCTCTCCAGGAGTCGATACCCAGATAGTCGTCCTATAGTCGTCGCAAGAATGAAGAAAGAGATCGTCCGCAGCACACAGGGCGCGAAGAATGTCAAAACAGTCAGTAGACTTCAACAAATAATTGGAGCCAAGCCAAGTCGCTCTCATGACTCATTCTTTCCGACGTCTTACAGAATTTGTGCATTTCACTAGGCAAGGGCAACAGGGACACATTTGCTTAATCACTTCTGGACCAGACTTACACATGATGTAGGCGACGGAATGTTCGCCATGTTGATGGTGACGGAGAAAGACAGACAGAGATGACGGTGGTTGTTTGTATTGCCCTCACAAACACCCACGGCGAGTCTTTATCCCGAACTGTATGTAGGACTTGCGTCTTTTGATTGGTCAGCTGGTTGGCTACAAAAAGAACCACGCGAGCATCAACACCAACAAACACACGACGATTTTGGACGGTCTACCGCCGTTGTGCCGAGATGTGTAGCGCGCGAGCCCTTTTCGGACAGCCGTTTCCAAAAACGCCGGAATGATTGGCCGGAACACCCACATTCGAAATTCAAAAAAATCTCGCCGCGTCTCTCCGTGGGCGTCTCCAACCCGGCAACTGCTTTGTTGACCCGCACACCCAACAGGGCAGTCACAGGGCCGAGAGGTACGCAAGGAGCTGTTGCTGGGGAGAATGTCCCGTCGCTACGGCACTCGATCTACCACGAAGGCGGCATGTAGCAAAGCAGCGGCCGCAGCCAACACTCAGGCAACCTCCAACCCAACGAGCGGCACGGCGAGGCATGCTGCAGCAGAAGCAGCCCTAGCGCCCCCCCCTCGGATCTCGAGCCAAGTAGTGACGGGCGACGGGCAGCAGCGGGGGATAATGCCAGCAGCAGCAGCAGCAGCAGCAGTGGGAGCGACCAAACGTGTTGACTGTCATCTCTTTCCACAGGTGGCACGAAAAGTACCAGACATGCCGCACGCCACAGCAGCAACAACAGCGGTGACACCAGCGCCATCAGCACAATCACGAGCAGCAGTATTGTTCGGAGCGGAAAACCACCCTCCTGTCGGATCAAGCAGCGGAGTCAACCGTCTCAGGAAAAGGTCGAGGCTTTGCCTCGGCAAGCGTCGTCGCGCGTTGCCGGCGCAGCACGCGGCGGTTGGTCAGCCGTCTATCGGCACAGCAGGCTCTCCGTCGTTCCAGGAACGATTTCGCTCGCCCTTCACTTCGTCCGCTGCGCTCGCCCCCCCCGCCGAGGCCATAGGCTACCCTTGGGGTGCATCGCCGGGTTTGAGCGAGACCTGCCTCGATAGGGCAGGAGTTCTCGCGCCGGCTGCTTGGACGATTGAGCGCCCGTCAAGTGGGCCGTCGCCGCCGTTCGTTGGGCTCAAGAACCTGGGAGAGACGTGCTACGTGAATGCCGTGCTGCAGGCTCTGACAGCGTGCCATGGGGTGCTCACGTCGAGTCGCGGGGGTGGTGGTGGATGGCACGACGTAGGGAGCGAGGGGTCAGAAGGATCATGTTCGACCCCACCAGCAGCCGACGCTGCACCTGCTGGTGCTGCTTCTGAGGGGACAGCGGTGCTGGTTGCGGGGGTAACGGGAACCCAAAGGAATCCGGTGCTTGCTGCTCTGGAGCAGGTTCTGGGAGAGATGGAAACACGCAACCGGGCGCTGTCTCAGCAGCAATTGGTGGCCTTTGGGTCGCAGACGGCTGTTTCATCGCCCGCTGAACCCGAGTCGACCGGCAGCGGTGCTACTAGTAGCCCGGAGTCCAAGACGTGCCAACCGTACGACCAAACGCCGCTCCGACCGAGCGCTTCGACGGGGGAAGGCGTTCTTGTTGAGGCAATCGCGCCGACTTTTTTGGTAGAGCTGATTCGTGGAGGGTGGCTGAGCGCTGACCGCTCGAGACTCGGAGGCGGGGGGGCGGGGGCTACGGGGTCGACTGAATTCGGAACAGGGCAGGCGTGTGTCTCCGAGCTCTTGGGGAAGTTTCTCGGTCTCGTCGTCGACGACGGCGGCAGCGGGGCCACTTCTCTGGGCGGTGTTGGCGGGCGAAGGAGCGGCGGCAGCCACAGCAGTAGCTTCTGCTGCTTGGCCCAGGCGTTTCGCGGGACACTCTGCGCCCGTACTCTGTGCGTGGAGTGCGAGCGGGACAGAACCGCCCGCGAGGACTTCACCGAGCTAACCTTGCCGCCCCTCCTACCGCCTCCGCAGCACGCCCCACCTCTCACGGCGCAAGGAGCTATACCGGCGGCCGAGAACGACGGCGGGCCTTCGCTCCGGGGGCGGCGCCGGACAATGCAGACCCTCGTCGACGGGGTGTTCGAGGGAGAGTCCCTGGCGGGCAACAACAAGGTCTGGTGCGAGGCGTGCCGTCAGTGGACGGAAGCAGAGCGCCGGTCTTCGGTCCACTCGCCACCCCGCCTGCTGGCCTTGCACGTTCGCCCGGGGACGCGGAAACGCTCGTCGCCGTGCCCGTACCCGACGGCGCTCGCCCGTGCCTCCGGCGGGGCCCCCGAGAGCGTGGTGGGTGATGTGCGTCGTGGAGCGGAGGGGCGACTGCCCGCGGGCAGCGGGGAGGAGGCAATCGAGCGTACGCTGGTCGTGAAAAAGGCCGCGAGGTGTCAGCTCCACGAAGACGGCGTTAACAGCAGCACTAGCAGCAGCAGCAGCAGCAGCAGCAGTATCACCTCGTGCGCCGGTCAGCTTTGCGATTCGGGGGACGTTTTCTACGACCTGATCGGCGTCATCCTCCACCAGGGACAGACCCTTGCTTCCGGCCACTACACCTTCGCGCTTCATGCCGCTGCTGGGGACTCGGCATCGTTTCTGGAGCAGCAGCAGCAGCAGCAGGCGGACAGGGACAATCGGGCGTTGGTGCAACAAGAACCGCCGGGGGCAGCCGCAGCTGGTTCGACGTGTGGAAAGCCGGGTTTCGCGCTTTTCGACGACGCCACGGTGGGGTGGTTGTCTCCGGAAGAGGAGCGCGCTGTCTTGAGGGGCGGCGGCGGGGTTTTTGGCGATCCGTTCTTGGTGTTTTACGCTCGGCGGCCATGACATCGTGTTTGTCGTCGGTTCGGAAAACGGGTGGTTGGTGGAGTGTGATTGTTGTGATGGCGAGCGTGTACATGGCGGCAAGGAAATTTTATCGTAAGTCTGGTAAAGCACAATAATTGTGCTGTGTAGAGTAGGTTCCCCAGAAGACAGCCGTAAAACTTGTCGCCGGAAAGAAGGCTTCGCGGAGAGAGCCTTCACCGCGTAGTTCCACCTCATGTCGCATGTTGAACATGCTTGATTTAGGTTTTTATTTTAGCCCTGATTGTTCGGTTCCGTCCTTACGTACTTTTCGCTTTGACCTGCAGTATATCCGGGTGGCGCCGGGTGTTGTCCCCATTTTCTCCCCGGTGTTGTGTTGGTTCATGTGCAACAGAGGTATTGCATAGCTTTTAGAACGACGCGGCCAGACGAAGAGATCGACAAGGAGGCTGCGCTCCTCAACCAGGAGTAGCCGGCAATCACGGGCGTGGGAGATTATCGCGCACCGGTAGACGGTAGAACATGGAGCTATTCGACGCAGGAAGCGCCGCACCCCCGTTTCGATGAAAGGCGCAATTGGCGCAGCTAATAGTGCGCGGCGTGAAGCACCCCGTATAAGTGGGAACGGGTACGCACCTAGCAGGTAGGGCCTGCCTGTACGTTTTTTTGTTTGAGTTTTTTGTGGTGTGACTTGTGCATAAGAGAGTGGCGGCAATGGACAGGCCGGTCCAAGAGTTTCTGCGTGGAGGCAAGAACGTCGGAGTCTGAGCATGTACACAGCCTTGTTTTGTTTTTTGCACGACGGGGACACGTTCGGAGTATGCATATGTAGCTCTGGCGAAAATAAACCAGTACACTATTGTATCTGTCGTACGATCGCGCGGCCCTGGAGCATTAGCATGCTCGGGCAAGAGGGTTGAGCCCACCCACGCACGAGGAAATGGGGCAGCGCCAACGGTCGTGACACTACAACAAACCGTTGGGAGCGGGCGCTCTGGTTCCGCACGAAGACCTGCTTCGTCTTGTGATTTTGCTCGGTATCATATGCGGCAGTGGACACAAAGGTTCTGCGAAAAATGTGCCACTTGAGCAACGCACTAAATTCGCTGTTCAGTCCAATTCAACGCGCGACAAGGCGAAAAGAGTGCATGCATATGTTCCCACGCACATCGTGCAGGGCGGGAGCTCGAATGACGTCACTCTGCAAGAACAGATTTAGGTCGCCAAAAGTACACCCCTCCCAACTGCGGATGGGAGGGTGGGACTCCATGACTTCTACGTACGTGTACACAACATTTTTTTTTCAAGTAGTCAGAATCCAAAAGGAGTAGGAGTAAAAATATTAAACGTTGCCAATCACGTCGAGATGAGGAACCCGCACTGACCTTCTGCGACACTCCAGAAAACAGGACCAGAAAGGAAAGCAGGAAAAAGCGACTGACCGCGCGCACATGACCAAACGCGAGACAAATTTCGGTACAGACCAGAGCCCAAGGTTCGGAAACAGTCAAACAGGCAACACCACCTACCAACGAAGGGCACCTCAAGGTGGATAGTACTCCAAGCCAGTTAGGCCAGAACGGTGCGTACGAAACCACGGCAATAAGCAACAAATCCAACGGAGGAGCAACCGTCAACTGAAGGAGGATTGGCACAAACCAGAGCCTGCGGCGAAAACGTGAGGCACAAAGCTTACGGTCGACCGAACCCCAACCTCGCAAGAAAAAGCGTATGCCTGAACGTAGTCGGTTCGTCGTGTAGATCTTGCTCTTCTTCTTCTCCGCCAATGCGCCGGCAAGGGCTGCACTACCTGCTGCGTGCTGCAAGCCGACCCTGCCACCACGAGCGATGAAACCTTCACCTTTACCGGATACACCCGTCCAGGCACACCTTCACTACTCGTCGTGCGCTCGCAAGGAGCGCAAGGACTTCCTTCGGACCGTGTTGTGCACGTTGGATCAGTTCCACGGCAACCCAGACGTCTGAGTCCGAGTTGCCGTGGCACTGATCCAACGCGCACATCACGGTCCGCACGAAGTCCTTTTGCGCTTCTGGTGAGTGCAGGACTAGTGAAGGCTTGTCCCGAAGGGGTGTACTCGTCAAGAGGACATCGCCCTTCAAAATGATAGGTTCGACCTGCGCACTGTCCATGCGCCCATCTGGGTGGGTAACGAGAGAAGGCGGTGGGGCAGACGGCATCTCATGAGCATAACCTCTATCGTTGTGGGTTGAGTGTCGCTGGTACATAGCGAACAACGCCATCAACCTCGCGGCGAAATAAAACCGCACGCCGATAAAACCCTCGACCCCTCGTCCAGAGATGCCAATTGTCTACACATTAAATGGTAAGTGTTGGTGCGTTTGGATTGATGGGGCTTGCTCACAAGACAATTGTCATAGCGGTGTCGTCGACACGCCTGAACTTGGAATTGATTCAGGCTGTGTATATTGTACCATTGAAGAAGACCACCACGCATCCACACCTACCAAAAAAAAAAAACTACACAAAATATCAGCACGTTCGATGCCAAAACACTTACCATTACAAGTAGAAACACTCAAACGGGGGTCATCTCTGAAACAACTGCCATCGTTGGAACAGATTGACACACATAATACACGGGGCGAAGCGCACCTGGCACCTCGAGACACAGAAACACACACACACGCACTCTTCTGTTCCTTGGTAGAAAAAAACATAGGGAACAGCTGCCCCCGTCTCGAAAAAGAGATAAAAACACGAAGCGGAGGACCCTTGGGGCACGGTTTCAACATACAAGCACACACACACATGGAGTGATGCTCATGTTATCCACGAAAAAAAAACCGTGGAATGGCTGTACTTATATTACGTCTACGACCACAAGCAAGCTTGCATGATCACAAAAAAAAACGAAACAACCAAGGACGTGCGAACGAAGCAACAAGAGGAAAATAGATGCGGTACACAAATAGGGGCAAATACGAACAACCGCATACATACATACATGCATATACATACATACTCTACAAGAAGATGGCTGTCGGCAGTCGACACATACATGCGCGACAAACAAATGTACAGACGACGTCTGCTGAAACTGCGCCCCGTGTGTGTGTGTCATCTATGAAAGCTGGGCATTGTTTGTAGTGGTTGCTCTGCTTCCCCATGGCAATCACTCTCACCCTGCTTGCAACTCTCTGCAGAGAGATGAATGAATACAAGTAGGCCGCGGCGAGTTAAGTAGCGGAATTGAGTGGAACGGAGATGTCCCTATATGCTGTCTGGGAAACCGTAGACATACAGGTACTTTCTGACGCTATGAATTAATTGCTAATCTGTCTCAGACTCTATGATAGAGATGGATTCGTTGTGTCATATTAATATAAAAAAACGAA